TGTCCACCTCCACTTCTAATCCAATTTCCTCTTTCATCTTTTCTTCCACAATCAGCAGCACGATGTCTTCCCTTCCCGCACTTGAAACATAACCCCTTTTCAGTTCTTCTCGCCATTTCCTCCCTTGATACACCTGATCTAGAATACTCGACTCTAGCGCTCGAGAGGTCCATGGCGTCCGGATCTCTTGTACTAGCGGTGACAGTAGTGGTACGAGTCGCGGGTTGGCGTTGTAATCCTGGATGAAGCTCGTTGTCGACCGCCAAAGCGTACGCAGTGATGTCAGATAACGAATCGAAAGACTTCAGGATCATATTAACTCTGATCTCCTGTTTAAGTCCAATTCGATAATGGCTGATGTGTTCTGCTTCACCCCAGTTCGTTCGCGCCACTAGAGACATGAACTTGGACGTATAATCCGCCACCGAGCCGGTTTGATGTAAGCTTCGAAGGTCACGTTGGGCTCGATTCTGGCGATCCGAGTCGAAGAACGTCGCCTCGAAGGCAGCACCGAAAGCTTTAAAAGATAGCTCCTCCTCGTCGTTCGGATGAAGGAGTCGTTTGAAGATGGGTGCCGCCCATTGGTTGGCTTCGCCAGTCAGGTAAGAGAGGGTGAAGATGATCTTCGCCTTGTCGTCGGGGAATAGGTTCGCGTTGGCTAAAAGGTATAGCCCAACCTGGTTGACAAATGCCTCGGCCTTGTCGCCTTTGGAACCGTCGAACTTGTCGGGTGTCCCCACTTTCGGGCCTCTGGACGGGCCCACAAGTTGCCTAACGTCTGCTACTGTAAGGGTTTCAGCAGGAGGTTGTGGTGTGGGAGTTTGACCGGGAGTTTGAGCGGATGGCTGCGCTGCAGGAACTGGTGGCGCCTGCTGTTGGGTTTGGGATTGGTTCCCCGCGTTGAGCTGCTGTACAAGACTATTCAACTGGTCTTGAGTCGCTTGGCGTAGGGCAGATTCCTTCTCCAACTGTTCTTGGGCAATTCGGCGTTGCTCCAATTCTTCGTCCAGTCTCGTACTCAGTTTCGTGAGCTGATCTAGTATCGAAGCAAGGCTAGTAGTTACCGGGTCCATAGTATTTGCTAGGTTTGATTCCTCCTGGCTCGGGACTGTATCGTACGAAGATTGTTCCGAACCTTGTTCGTCTGGTGTTGTGAAATTCGCCGTTGTTCTTGTGAATACGGTGTCGATCCTAATTTAAAGTTTCTACTGAATCTTGATAAGGTTTCTAATCTGATGATCCTTCGTCCGATTCTTCTCTTCAATTCTAATTTTGAGTGTTTCGAGTTAATGAATTCTAATCTGTTGTATACTACGTTCAAGATCTTGTGTCGGCTGCGTTGAGATAGAGATACTGCAATATGTTATGAACCAATGCTCGCAGTGGACACTGGTAAGGTACCAATGGCTATCTAACTAGATTGCAGTATGAAGAGAAAAGACTACAAGCGTGGGAGGACAAAGTACAACCCCCGCGCCGTGCTCCTCACTACAAGCATAATCCGGTACAAGTATATCATGGATTATTACAGATCTGTTGCTTTTAACTCTTCTAAACCTAGTCTCTAAATCAAGCAGTTTGGTTGATAAGATTCAAATCAAGTCAGTTCTCAACTCATCATTTCAGGTTGTGATTTGAAATCATATTTACCCATATCATCATATTTATCACAAATATGATTTCGATCATGAAGAAGTAATGCATATGGCCTTGAAACTGATCTCAATCTTCAACAAATCTGAAGAAACAACATACCAATTAAATTGGCTCCACCATCATATAATTGACCAGCAAAGAAATCACATCAATGACCAGCATAAGCTAAACACCAAATGCTGTTAGCTTAATCAGATCTTGGTCCTTGAATTGTGTAGCATTTCAAATTTTCAGTGATTCATCAACTTGATGATCATCAGTCTCAGGTAATGTACCTAATACAATCTCACCACTTGAAACTCAAAGTATTTCAATGCTTTCTTCACTTGATTTATTAACTCCAATATTCAAATTAGGTAAATGATCTTTGATAGATTAAAACAACCAACAATTTTCACTCGTAAGACCTAGAGGTGTTGAAAATTCCTGACATGTTGATGAACTTGTCGCTTGAATTCTATGATTTGGATTAGGTTCAAATTGTGATAAATATGATTCAATTTCATTTAATGAGACTGATTCTGATTTGATCCATGACTTGAATAGGTCTGTGACAATTGGTATGGAAATGAGATAGGTAAAGGAGTTACAAAACTGAAAGTAGCAGTAACTTGACGAGATTTACTTAAGTTTGATGGTTTGGTTGAAGTTGGATTAAATTGATGAATCAAATGGTTCCTTTGTGCTTGGTTGGCGTTGATTCAAGTTTGTACGTAATGAACACGTTTGTGGGATGAGTTTCTGGGGAGGTCAATCATTTAAGAATAGTTTTGAACTTGCCGTAGGTTGTGGTGTTGTTTCTATGGCTGTGATGTGGAATGGCAACATGTATGTGTCTTGGCCCCTTTGGTGTCAAAATAGAATTGGTGCCCCGGTACCGGGTTTGTACGGTGGTATCTCTTACACAACAGGGTTTTTCTGTGTATGTACTAAAAGTCCCTGTGTAAGAGGGGTTTCAAGTTTTTTTGCGTATTTTTTACAAATTTGGACAAGCTGTGCATAAAAGAAGGGTTTCAAGTTAGTTTGTTTTTGGCGTATTTTTTTAAAATTCATTTTGCGTAAAACCAGCGTATTTTTATCAGGCCGTTGCTATTTGCGGCCCACATTAAATCCATGTAGGCGCTGTCCAAAATACGCCTACATGGATGTTTTCCGCCAAAAAGCGCCTACATACAGCCTGTAGGCGCTTTTTTCTTTTTCAAATGACGCCTACAGGCTGAAAAACCAATGTAGGCGTCATTTGTGTATGCCTACATTCCGCCTACATTCTGAAAATGGAATGTAGGCGTCATTTGTGTACGCCTACATTCTATTTTTAGAATGTAGGCGCTCGAAAAAAGCGCCTACATTTCATTTGGGCTATGTAGGCGCTGGCAAATGAGCACCTGCTAAGTAGGCGCTTTGAAATTACGCCTACATGCCCTAGGAACCATGTAGGCGTAATTTCAAAGCGCCTACATAGTTTTTTTAGCCCAAATCAGCGCCTACATCCAGTCGTGCAAATGTAGGCGCTACAAATCCAGCTTCATAACCAAAAATTGCATCAAATTTCGAAATTAATTAAAGAAAATCACTCACCATTTGCAATTATAGGCCAGTCGGCATCCACAGCAGAACACGCCACGTGGATATCTGGAAGATCTGTTGAACAAAGAACCAAAAAAAAAATAGATGGATCAACGACCAAAAACATGAAAAAAAGAAAATTTCAAAAAACAAAAAATCAAAAATATAATCAAATACCTTTGAGATTGATGTCTCCTTCAGCTCCAGCTTCATCTGGAAGATTATGAAGAGCTTCTACGTGTTTTTGAAATTTTAAAACACGTAGAAAAACACATATCAATATGAAGAATTATCAAGCATGTAAAAAAAAATATAAAAATTGAAACTCACCTTCACTGAATTTATCATCTTCAAAAGCTTTATTTTTTTTGTTGAAAGGATCTTTAATAATGTATTGCTTATTAATATAAATAAAGTCATCATTGTTTCCGTCATCTGTTGAACCTTCCGCGTCTAAATCTGAATCTAAATCCATTTCATGATCTACGGGCTTTGAATCCAAATCCATTTCATCTCCGTGATTTAAATCTAATTGAACTTTGGAAAAGGGAGAAGGTTTTTGAGGTGGAAGTGATAAGGGAGCAGTTTGAAATGAATTTGAATTTGAAACAGAATGGGAAGTTCTTTTGGAAGGTGGAGTTGTCAAAACTACATTCTGATTAAAATCCGTATGAAACTTTTGATTATCTTCATTTAAATTCATTTCACTGTCAGGTAATTGTTGAATGGAAATATTATGATTCATCTGATTATTAGACTGAATTGGATGAGTGAAATTGTTGAGATTTGGATTTAAATCATTCATCTGATTATTATTACTATTTGATTTGTTATAACTGAAATTTGAATTAGAAGAAGTGATTAAATTTGAAGAATTTAAAAGGTTTTGATTGACGGAATTAAAATTTGGTTGAACAGGATTATTCATCTTTGATTGATTGATCATATTCAAAAGAAGACCCAAAGTGTTATTGTCAATTTGATTCATACTATTTTGATTTAAGGTATTTTGAGTTTGATTTGGTAAATTTAAAGGCCGTTGCTATTTGCAGCCCACAAGAAGACCATGTAGGCGCTGGCCAAATTACGCCTACATGGGTGTTTCCCACGAAAAAGCGCCTAAATTTATGATGTAGGCGCTGAAAACCATCTAAAATGACGCCTACATGATAAACAACCCATGTAGGTGTCATTTGGTTACGCCTACATTCAAAATTTCAGAATGTAGGCGTAATTTTCAAGCACCTACATATCTAATTTGAAATGTAGGCGCTATTTTTGAGCGCCTACATTCAATTTTCAGCTCAAATAAGCGCCTACATGCAGTCTTGCATATGTAGGCACTCCAAATCCAACACCTACAACTCCAGACTGGTCTGACGGCTAATGAAGAAGAAGTTACAAGTTAAAATGAGACACTACACCAAACTACATTTTTTCCTAGGGGCGTAGAAAAGTACTTTGTACATAGAAAATAATACTTTTCTACTCATACAACGCACTTTTCTACACTCATGTAATCAATCAGTGACAATGTATAGAAAAGTATCTATTTTCTGCCTCACACTGCCTCTCAAGTAATTCTATAATTGTACTCTGGCTGTTCGTGATTGCAAGACTCTCCGTCAAGAGCCCCACTCTTGAATTGACTCGCATGCTTACATTCGGCGACACACCCCATTTATATTCACCGTTACAGGCCTTTCACCAGACCCTCAGTACCAACAGCAATCCTGCCTTCAGGCCTGTAACAAGCCGTTCATAGATTGAATCGAACAATGAATGGAAGCACAACTCAGTATGTAACGGGCACGAGTGGCACGACAGAATGTCATCGAAAGAGTACAAAGTGATTGTACATCATCTCATTGCTACAAGCGTTAAAATGGCTCATCAATGATCAAGTAAGTCATTGGAACTCCGTAAGATGCACTTGTAACTCCTGTCGGTTGCCTACTTTGTCTCTTGCTGAATCACGATTTTCATTTCTTCTATGAGTCATCTACACTCTG